CACACACACACACACACACGCATTGGCACGGCACGGATGACTGCGACGAGCTACCGACAGGACAAGACGATGCAAAAATAGAGGAACACGACATGAGATGACTGACAATGAATGTTTGGTGCGTGACCATGCCAGACACCAGGATTGGCATGCTAAAACTATGATCCGTTGGGGCAGGGTTCTGCCCCGGTGCCAGACTCAAGGAATGGCACACCAAATGAGATGAAAGGAGGAAAGTGCAACCCCAAGCTGCCCTCGCTGGGATCCAGGGCGGATGCCTGCAGGTACAATTCCTGGAGTGCGGAGGGAGCTTCCTTGGACAGAGCCCCTCCGCACTCCCCTGTCCCCCTGCACAAAGAATGGCTTCAGGAAAGAGCAAAGCAGAGCGGTCGCCATGTCCAGGCGTTTACACACACACACACAACTTCATTTCTAAGTTCTGGTCCTATTATGTCCTATTCATGTCTAGCATGACATCAGAAGCGGAAGCATTTCCTTGTAGACATTTGCAGCACACTTCAATTTTGGTCTAACCTAGCTGAGGACTGGTTTACAGCCGGTGTTTCACGCTCACAAGAAGATGCTCTTGTTTTTGCGTCACGGCTGCCAAGTGACAGTATGGGCACGCTGTAGATTCTTGTAGGTGCCGCTTGAATCAAGGAAATTTCTGTGTCGACCAGTCGTTGTGCTCACGAAAGGTTCCTGTCGTCTCTGCCGCGGGCGTCGCTGCAGGGAGCTCTAGGCCTCACATGCCTCACACAATTAGAAGGATTTGGAGGTGGATTCAGACGGTTCCAAGACCGAGACTTATACTTCTTCCGATGTTGTCTCGTGGTTGTTAGAAGTTGTCGGATTGTAAGGGACTGCAGGGCTCTCGTTGGGCCACGGGTGGTTGACATGCTGGGATCCGCTCGGACGTGAGGTGAACGTGTAAAGAGGTTCGGGCACAGCAGAGATTGGGAAGATGAGAGTTCAATTCTATCAGGCCCAAGGAGAGCGCGACAACCCAGTGCATTCAGCTTGGCTCAGGTTTCGTCCCGAAAAACGACCGCTTCTTCCATTCGGACATCCTGGCGCCAAACAGGTTCAAGGCCGTGACCGTGATGTGCCATTACCTCCGCCTGAGAAGTCGATGCAGGGTAAGCAGAGCTATTTGCCTGTGAGGTTTTGCTTGTTGGTGGTTTATTCCGGGTGCCGCAGGTGCGCAGCTTCATTGCTGATAGCTCGCGGCTGTACATTGTTTCCGGGCCGCAACGACAGGGAAGTGTTCGGACTGCAACGTGGAGACGAAGTTTCATGTCCGCACTAACACAAGATCTTATTGGCTTCCCGTGCTGAGATCTTGATGTCTGTCGCTGGGTCCATGCTCCTGCACTTCTTTGGGGCGAAGCTGTTGCAGGATGAGTGGGAGGCACCATCGGCAGAAACATCGCACCACTTATCGTATATTTTGTCATAACTTTCGGTTAACACGAGCGGCATCACGGGAACAGCAGGCCGTCCCGCCAAAGAAGTAGCATGTCATGCAACATGTAAGGTTGAGAAGACTCTTGCCTTTCGTTTCTCTTGCGAGCCCCAAGTGCCAGGAGGTCGCGTTGGATCCAGGGTCGGGGAAGGACTACATGCGGGACTGGTCAGCTGTGTTCGACAAGAGTTGGGCAATTCTGGTATCAACCTTGGCTTGCAATTTCAAGAGAGCTTTTTGATCGGACTTAACAGGGCCAAAGTGAGGTCGGATCATCACAGAGGCAGGTTCCTGACAGTCTAAGCGTGCTTCGGACTGTATTGTTGCACAAGGAGGAGCCACTTCATCGATCCTTGGAGATGCACGCTGGCTCGCCTGGTTCACAGAAACCCAGCTGCAGACAGCTTCCGCATGCGCTATTTTCGGCGGAGTATGCTTTTGCCTTCAGTCTGAGATCTGGGCTTAAAGTTCCCCAGCGAATCTCAGTTCCAACTCTGTTTCAGGTCGGCATTGCTAGGGCCTAGGGCTAGGATAACGAGCGTGGTTCTATCTCGACGGGAAGCAGCATCTTGCCTCTGATGCAGTGCGCCGCTGGAACACGGTAATGCATTCGCACTCATGTGCACTTTGCGTGGTGTGCTGAGGCCAGAGAGGTCTGGGAGTGCTCCTGCTACAGACATCCCAGTGTCGCACACTTAGAGCGCTGAAACCATGGGATCGGTTTGCAGGATGATGATTGCATTCTACTTGTGGTCGGCACGAGCGAGTGTCACCCACTACTCGAATTGAATCTGGATCAGTCAGGCAGGGTATGGAGTCCACCAGGACAGCGTGACTTGGCCAAAGTTAACTACCTTGATCTGAATCTTCTGGCCACACTGTTTAAGCTCCCGCAACACATCTTACGCGTCACCAGGCGCACTGATTACCGACTTTTGATAAGTTGCAGTACACACCCGTCACCCAAGCTGGGGCGCCCACCGCCAAACATGCTGACGCACCGATTCTGAAATCGTTCCGACACCTCAAAACTGGAGATGAACGGCATCGTCATTTTTCGCACACTTCTTGGGAACTTTGGTCGTCTCAGCAACCACAAGGCCGAACTCAGAGGCAAATCCGGCATCAGTGCCGCAGGTAGCAGGGTCAATTTGAAGGCGGGTGTTGAGGCATTGCCGGGGACTGCAGTAGGGTCAGTGCTTTCGGCATGCTATGCGAGTTGCGAGGCACTGCTGGCCTTAGTCCAGTTCCTTGCCACTGCAAAACAATGCAACAAATCTGATTGAAACAGCAACATGGAATCACTGGCTCTTTCTTCACGCAGCAAGGATCTGAGCTTGCTGCGAAATGGTTTGGTCTTAACCAGTTTCAAGTGTGCCGAGCTCGTTCGGTTTTCGCAATCTGACTCTGCAGCGTGGCTCCGACCAACACCGGAAAGATTTGACGAGGCCTTTCGAGCTGTTGCTGCGGTGTGCTTGGCTTGTTTCTGGTACAGATGACCTTCCCAGGAATTGCTTGCGATGACCGGGCTGACAGTCCAAAAAGAGGATAAAGAGGGTCCTGTCGTTTCATCCCACCGATCCTGCCCTGTGGTGAGGTGAGGGGCTTTTCACTCTTCGCTCTTGAGCCTCATCTGTTGTCAGTCGGAAACGCCTGGAAGTCTAGTGTTGAAGGATGCTTAAGCGGTATGTCCCGTTGCGCATGGCGGAGGCTTGTCGCGCTTGCTTGAGTGTTCGATCCCGTGCCAAATTTGCAATTGTACTTGCCAGAACGCAGTTTGGATGCCCACAGACACCACGTATGCTTGCTTCGTCATGCATTGTAAATATTGTAAGGACCAGCTGGGCACGCCGGTTGTCCACCTCGCGGAGCGGGTTCATGCCGGTGGCGGAGGAGCTGTGCGACTGCTTGCGCAAGCTGTAGACTTCCAGCTCGCTGCTTTGTCGTCTTTCTCCAAAACACGGTTGCATCACATTCTGCGTTGTCAGTGCGCTGTGATCGGGCAAGGATACACAGCTCATCACAGAGGACCTAGAGCCCGGGAGCAGTACTACAGGCTTCAGGAGAGCCGGCAAGTTGTGCAGAGCTGGCCGTCAGCAGCAGCAACGAGCCCAACTGGATACGAGACGTTGTCCGGTTCTGGCAACTACATTCTCCTTGCATCATACAACAAAAATGACCGTTGCTGCAGCCACGAGGAGAATCGGGACTGGGACGTGCTCGCCTTCTCTTTTTGCCACCCGGCGGGCAACTATTTGCGGATTGGATTCCAGACCTTGGGACGACACGTGCTAGAAAGGCCCAGGACAGAATCTTCTCAGAACAGGACCTGGACAGTTCGCTTCGGCGTGGGTGTTGGACAGGGGAAGTAGGGAAAAGTCCAGGTTGAGGAAGACGAAGAGGGGCTCCGCGCAATCGAAAGACTTGCAGAGATGTTTGGCTCCTTGGCAACCAGACATATTGTGTCTGAGGGAAAGGCTTCTTGCAACTGCAGTTCGGTCAGTTTGCAGACTTTACCTCTTTCGCTGTGATCGTCTGACGCTAGAACGGGCGAGCGTGTGTGCGAAAGTACTAGTAGTTGTGGCCACAGACGACTACACCTCCAGCCGCACATCGGATTGCACATTCGCCCAGGCCAGGACCCTCAGATCTTCAGAGACCTGGTTGTGCAAGGCATGTTCTGCTACTGCTGTTGAAAGAGCATTGGGCTTTTGAGATCTTGTCGGTGTGCTTGTATCTTCTGTGCAAGGCAAGTTGGGTATCGGGGCTTTGCTCTCGCCGAGACGGCTGGACCTGAGCCGAGGCCAGCGATTGTACGAAACTTTCGGGCTGCCCGACAGAGTCAATCCGGACTTCTCTGCCTGGCAAAAGTCAATGACCATGACGCTTGGGTGCAGACAGGGCGGATTGCAGATGAAAAATCCTTGTCTGACTATCTGGTCTGAAGGGATTTGTCTTGGGCTTAAATAAGACTGGAGATGAGTTTCTTTTCTGTCGGTGATGTACTTGAGGCTTCGGGGCTCGACTGTGGTTTGCTGTGTGAGGTCGGAGGCTGTGATGCAAAAAGAGTCCCTCATGGCCCTGAACCGCTTCTGACCGGATCGGGTCATCCCGGCTCTTTTGGCAGAGTCGACATCGAGCCTGAGAGGCTGACCTTTCTCAGCCTTAGGTCCTTACTTAGGTTGTGGAGACGGAGATGCACAGCAGGTGAGGGCAGAAGGAGTGCTTGAGCAGCTCGATTTTGAGATGATTGTCTTTGTGATTGGGGTTGCGTGCTGCAAAGCTCTCACAGCCAGGTGGAGACGGCCGGGACGGGCCCGGACAGACTGTGATTACAGTGCTGCCCTTTCGGTCCAGAACTGGCTACTGGGGTTCCGCCAAGTGGAATCACCTTTAAAAAGCTCAAAGCAGTGATACCTGTTGTAGCAACAGAGCAGGCCGCGCCCCAATGCGGCGTGATCTCCTGGTCTGTGCCTCCATCCGACCATGTCATGATGTTCTTCGAATGTGTCATCCTTGCGGTTGTCGGTTTCGGCGCCGCCCCGGTTCCGGAAATCATGCTGTGGTCGCAGTTGAACGCGGAGGCGGAGGCTTAACCTCGCTGCTTTACGGATCTGTCAATAGACGAATTTTGTTTTATGGATCCGGTTAACACACGAATTTTCCAATGTTAATGCACCTCGGCAAAGCAAAGGCTGCACCAGGGTGCCGATCTTTGCCACCAAACTCTGACCATGCAGAGCCCCAGTGCGGAAATTGCCAGCTGTGCCCCATTCGGGCTTGCTCGGACGCTCTGTGACACTGAGACTGCCACGTCCGGATTCGGTCCAGACTCGCTTTGGCTCGTCATGGCTTGGCCTCGCGCAGGTCATACCCAACTGCCCTTTGACAACCTCACGGCCATGCCGCTCCTCGCTGCGGCAGGCGTGCAGCGTTTGCTTCTGCTGTTGCGAGATTCCGACTCAGATGTGACTTGAGTCAAGCCTTGGTGGTCCGAATGTGCAGTTTGGAAATTTTGGAAGGCATGAAGAAGCTCGTTGATTTGCAATTTCTAACATGTATCGCGGCTTACTCTAGAAATTTGGTGTAGCACAGGTGTGTGTGCAGTAACATACGCTAACGCCGCTAGCACCCTGGCCCGAACGACGTAAAGCTTTTCTCCTAGCCTTTTTCATTCCTCGACGCCATGTCAGGCCCCGACGGGGTGAGCCACGCCGTTGAGGGGATTCGAGCCGTGCTGTGTGTGGGGCGTCAAGGTGGGTATCCGGCCTGGGTGGCGGCGGAGATGAGCATGGGGAGATCGCACGGCGAGCATGGAGTTCGTGGCGGTGCTCACGATGCATGGCCCTTCGACGAAGCCTTCCTCAACGAGCTGGCGGCGCACATAAATGGCCTCTTGCCGGCCAGGGCGGCAGCGGCGGGCGAGTGACAGGAGCGCCGACACCTCTGCCGATTCGACCTGGAGGTGGCGACTTGGGAGCACCGCCGTCTACTTGGGCGGGCCAGGTGCAGTGGACGCCGCCGACGCCATCGACGAGAATAAGATGGGGTATCGGGGTCATGTCTTCCGCCCCCGCCACAATGCCGACACCGACGAGGGCGACGACTGCCAGTGGGCTCGGACTTCCTGACACGGCGCCGCAGACAATGGCCCAGACCCTGCGCCGCAACGTCGACTGGATGGCGGCCAAGTCGATGATGGCCTCGGGGACCTCTACGCCGGTGCTTGTTGTCTTGGTTAGCAGGATCGAGAACGCCGAGGCAATAGTCGGTTTTGTACACTGCTGTTGTGATATGCTTCGCTGATAGCTGGCGAACCACCACTAGGTGTCGAAACGCCCGCTTGACAGCTGACAGAGCTGATGCGCATGAATGAAAAACAACACGCCGTGTCCCGGGATGACTTCACCCGGGCACGCCGTGAAGGCTGGATGCGAGTGCACGGAACCCACGACGAGATCCTGAACATCTTTGCCCAAGGGGCCGGCGACTTGGAATTTGCCACCGCGAAAGCGGCCGACGAGCTTTTCCTGACGGCGCAGGGCTTCATGGGCTGAGCCGGCGCGTTGCGGGGAGGCGGTGCGCAGGGCGGGTGCAGAATGCGCACCGGCTAGCTGTTCCAGCCTGTTTCGTCGCCGAACGGCGTGATACTGCGCTTATACCACATGACAAAAAGACAGGCGTCATGTGAGTATAGTTTTGGATCAACGTCGGCCGGAGTGCTCCGTATGTTGTGTAGCGAAGGCAGTAATATACGGTAGCGGCGAACGCCGCCAGCACTCTGGCCCGAACGACGTAAAGCTTTTCTGCCACCACCACCCAAAAGCTGCCTTTTCGGCGGCATAGTCAAGTGTAATCTTTCTAAGATGAGCTTCTTCCAGAAGAATGAATAATATACAGTAAATGGCGATCAAGCATTCGCAGCAGGAAAGATTTCAGAACGGGGGAAGAATTGGTTTTGTTTTTTTTGGCCTGCGGAGGGTGGGTTGAGTGAGGTGCAGGGGGTTGCGGGGGGCTGCCGGGAAGCTCGCGAGGTGTGGGGGGGGGGAGTTCGAGGCCCAAGTCTTCACGTACAAGTGGGCTTCGAAGCATTTTGCAGGTGGAAGCAACATACCGGACCGACATGACTTAATTAAATGTGATTTGATTTAATCTGTCATATAAACATTGTATTATTGTATCTTATATTGGTTTTAAATCAGTATGATATGTATATTGAGGACTTTTGCATCAATAGTCAGTTCCAGTTTTTACAAGTCAGTCTAATGTTATACAGAAAAGGATTAGTAGTGTTATATGATTACAGGAACACTATATCAATAATATGCAGAAGTTGGCTGATATGTTAATAGACAGCTATTCTTACTTACGGTTATTATTTCACATCAACAATGTTAGTATTCATATCTATGTTGCTATGGTACAGAATAGTGTATGACAGCATAAAACCTTCCCGTATAATATATACACCATATGATGTTGCATTCTGTTCTGTTTGGTAATACTATGTTATAGGAAAATATGGTTCAGTGTTGTGATATGATGTTTTGGAAAAACTCTAAAAAATGTTTAAAACAGTCATGTACTACAATACAACATATTATAGATATCCGATGGTATCTATATATATATATATGTATATATATACACATTGTGTATATATATATACATACATGCCATATTATAATCACATAATATATCAATGTATTATCCCGTGGACGGCACCAAGAGCCTGGATAAATGAGCACCCCAAGACCGTCTGGCCTGCAGGCGCTGCCACCATGGCGGGCGCTGGAGGGACGCTCTTCGGCTACAATCGTGCGGGGCTCAGCTTGGGTGGTTGGGGTTATAAGATTAGAGGAAGCTGCATGGGTTGGGCCAATCGACTTGACCTAATGCAGACTCTGCCGTGCATGAGGAGAAAACTATCTGTACGACAGGAAGATGCGCCAGGTTGGAGGGATGAGTGGGGATGCGTCGGTTCGTCAGTGACTGTAATGTTCGCACATTGTATACCTAGTATACTTACGAGCAGCAGCTGGTCCGAAATCAGATGTTCGAGCGGCACAGGAAACGGAGTACCAGCCACTTGGCAGAGTTTAGGTTGAGCCTTGCCATTGCTTGCCAATTGCTTGCCGTGTGTGTGTGTGTGCGATCGAGGAGGAGTGTCAATCTTGCTATCAATGCTACCCGCGCCCTGTGGCACCACTGAGGATTATGGATTTCAGAATAAAGCAGGCAGAGCTTTGGCGAGAAGATGTCCGAGACATCATCGGCCTGACCTCAGCCGCTAGGCACCAAGTGGACATCAACAATAAGGCACTTGGTCTTGATCTGAAGCATTTCGGGGTGTAAAAGCCGTTTGCTTCCAGTTGCTCTTCAGACATACCGACGACTGCAGTAAACCTGCCCATGGTCTTGCTTTCGCAGAGCTGTCAAAAAGCGCCAGTCGGAGCTGGTCATTTTGTCCGAGTGCCGTAGTTGCGGGAGCTTTGCCCGAGGTGAAAATGGACACGTACCTGATCGTGAATGCTGTGCAGTTAGGCCGCGAGCAACTTCCACGTGGACCAAGCACTTTCCCTGCGGCTGCAGGGCTACCCACGCTCCAACCTGCTTCAACTCGGCTGTGCAGGCTTCACGGTCATGGCCTTCTGTGAAGGCCGCCTGGCCAGCGGACACTTGGCACCCGGAGATGCAGCAATTGATCCTGCCAGTAGCAACGATCCAAAGAGCCGGCCAGTTTCTCTGCCTCCTCCATCACCCTAGCTCCGGAGTGCATTGCCTCGGAAAGTAATCCACTAGATGGCAAAATGATGCATCACTTTCCGAGCTTCTCATGCAAAGCGGATGTCGGAACTGTACTGCTCAGGAACCCCAACCTGGCTCGTGGGCTGCCACACGCTATCGCTGGCAGGCTCGTGAGTGCTGAGCTGCTGACGGCTTCAGACATGTCTTCAGATGCCGGATGCCCTTGCCAGGTGCTTTCATGTACTTGCTGATGTCTGCTGCCCGGCAGCATTCGGCAAGTCCAAAGAAACAGTTTTCGCTCAGTCAAAAGAGAGAAGTTAACCGAAACGACCCCGCCTTCCGCAACGAGGGCAGCCTGGGGGTTGATTGGCTGGTCCTGGAGAAGTTTTTGTTTTTTGCCAGGTCTGGTTCTCCATGCATGCTTCCGTCACGGCCAAGAGCTACGACACCGTGCAGCACCTCCGTAAGCGGTTGCTGTGTTGCTCGAGTTGCCGGTCGTTGCGTTAGAAGTGAGAAGAGAGAGAGGGGGGACTTCCCGAGGCTTAAGGGAGCATCTGCAAAGTGAGCTCAGGAGACACGTCTCCTGACCCAGCTCGTTCGACTGCCAGTGCCTTCTTGGGCGCAACTAGATCCTTGGCAACAAAGGCTGCACCGGGTGGTTTTGAGCTGAAGCCATGATTGTGTTTGAGAGGGGAGTCGCAAGATGGCTTCGCAACTTGGAGTGGTCACCACAGCACGAGGTTCTTGAGCTTTCTCCGTGTCGGGGTCAGGCCAGTTCTCTTTCTCACTCTTGTGAAGCCTTGTAGCCGGGGTTTCTGCAATCCAGCAGAACGTTTCGCGAACATTCGACGAGGTGAGAGCTTGGAAAGTGAAGCGCAACAGCATTGCAGCGGCAGTGGTCTGAAGCTAGAGACCACAAGAGCAGGTGCTCTCCACAAGCTTCATGCACTCAATGCTGAGGAAGCCGCGCGAACGTATGGCTCGACCTTTGAGAAAACGAAGACAACCCAGATGCCTGGCTCAGCTTGGGTTGATGTGGCTGCTCGACGCGTCTCAGGGAGCAGAGCAAGCTGTTGCTGCTGTGGGGTCAGCTTGATGTTGCAGAAACAGAGATATGTTTTTTTATGTATATGTATATACATACACACACA